ATAAAAATGTTCTCGAAAGTTAAATTAGAGCTTTGTAACTGGTTTAAAGCTGAATAGTAAAGCTTTGAACCCGTAAGCTTAATTTGGCCCTTAGAGAGAAAAGTTAGGGCAAAAATCATGTTTGAGTAAAATAAGACCGATTAAGATGATGTAAAGTAGTAATTGGGTAGTAATGGACCTAAAAAGGATAAATGGAAAAGAGTTTACGGATGAATATAACCCTAGATAGTAAATATGAGCTTTTAGGCAAAATGGACCAAATGACTAAAATGTGCAAAATGTGTTCAGATTGGCATATTGGACAAGTGAGTAGAGAAAAGAAGCTTGAGATAAGATGTTGTGGTAATTGAAATCCATAGGTAACTTTTCTAGTAACAGAAGGTTTGAGATAATTGAATAACTTTCTTTGTTTGATTGTTTAATGTAATTGAGTGTGAGTATGCTTTATAATGTATGAACTTGTTTTGGATTAAGCATGATTTATAACATTGTGTAAATGTTGCATGAAATAGCTTTTAATTGAATAAAAGCATTTAAATGGGTGTTTTCAAATGGTATGCAATGTATGAGAAAATGTGTAAAGTGGTAATAAGGAACCTTAAATGGTTCGAAAAGCATGACTATAGAGGTAGGGGTTCACCCAAGTGGAGGTGGTGATAAAGACCACATAGCATGCTCTCTTTAGTATCCGACAAAGTGTGATGTTGGAGATAATTGTCCTTAGTGCCTTATAAGGTGTGATGTTAAAAAAGATCTCTTTAGTGCTATTGAGGTGCAATGTTAGAGATGTGAGACTCTTTAGTGTCTATGTGATATGATGTTAGAGTCAATGACACCCTATTATATCTATTGGGGAAACCATAGTCCGTATGTGCACTAAAACATCTTTCATCAGGTGATTCTACCATTGCAGGTAAGATCAAGGCTAATAAGAGTGTACATTAGTCTAAGGCGAGCTTATGATTTCGTGTCAGGGTGATTTGGAGGTTTGATTTGGAGGTTTGATTTATAGTGATCATGCTATGAGATGTTATGGAATGTTTGTGAAAGTGTTGAAAAGTAGGAAATGAATATGTGTTATATAAAAATGAATAGAAATGATATATGTGATATAAATGCTATTTTAATGAGATTTAAATGGTATACTATTCTTTACTTTCATATTATTATATGTGATAGTAGTAGAAGTGAGTTATTCTGTTATTGAGATTTTTATCTCACCCTTATAGTTACATGTTTTTAAGACCGGGAAGTAATCGAGGCAAGGAAAGAGAGTCTAATCTGGCTTGAGTTGTTGAAGTCGTGTAAACTCTGAGTTGGTGTAATAAACTAGAAATCTTGTGTATATATGTGTAAATGAGTTGCCATAGGTTGCATGCATAACTTAAGCAATGACTTTTATGGAATCTTAGCCCATTTATATGTATTTGTGATAGAATGAATCAAGGGGCTATAATTTGAGTATGTTTGTATTGAAATTGTTGTGATTGATGGTGAATTTTAAGCCCAAGTAAGAAATTATGATGAAATTAGTAATTTGGAGCTAAGATTTTAATGTACATATGTTATGAATGTGAATGTATATAATTATGTTGAAAAAAAAGGCTAAGTAGCCTATGCTGTGCCAAGTATAAGCAAAGTATGTAAATATGTGAAATGTAAAAATTGGCCATAGAAGGGTAAAATTTCAGTATATATATATGATTGTGATATAATATGATCAATAAGGTATAATAGGTCATTTTGGACTTAATTCAAGGCCTAGTGTGGTCTAACGAGAGAAAGAGATCAATTTAAGCAATTGGGTGCCCAAATTTTTTAGAAAAAGTGGCTTTTTATACTCGTGGGTCAAAATTTTAATTGGACAGTTAGATCATGTCAAACCTATCTCATTAGCTAGCTTACGAGCTAAGCTTCATGTGGGTACTTGAATTATTCCGATTGGATATTATATGTGCAAACGGTGCGTGCTAGAAGTTTGTCATTTTTTCTATCAAATGATAGCAGAAATTCAGATAGGCACACTGTGGCTCATGGTGACACATGCCATGGTACATGACACAAAAAGGCTATACGTGTGGCTCTGTGCCACATACCGTGGCGCACGTACTGCATACTACTATGCATGGACTATTTCCCCACTTAATTTTGTGAATTTAGATGCATGCAATGATTGAGATGGATGTATATGAGTCTTTTTTACTACATATTGCTCTGATTTCATTGTGATTTGAATGGTTTTATGAAACGAGTATTGGGCCCAAGCTTTTCAAATAAATCCTTTGATTTGTGATTGTGTGTTTATGTGGTGCTCTTGGTAATCTTCTCCTGTATCTGAAAGATATAGGGGGAGGTTACATAGGGCATTGTTGATGGAGGAATCCTAGCTTTTAAATAATAATGGCAGGTCACTCAACTTTCTCTCCCTTGGCTAAGAAAGTGATCACTTAAGACAACTATTCTAAGTAATCTAGCCTCACCAATTCAATTCTTTAAGTGCTAATTACAAGCCTATTAAGTAATCTCACTAGCTTAGCTTCAAAATTAACCAATAAAACTTGAGCAATTCATCAAGCATTTACCAAACAATTATATGCTAGGTGTATACAAGACATTCACCATTAGAAATCACATATTACAATGTAAATTTTATTGGATCATGTCTTTTGATGATTACAAAACTAAGAGAAGAGGTATTTGTTATGTTTGCAGATATAAAGAATCATGGATGAAGACAAAACCTTAAGAGCATGAAGAATCAAGAGAAGTTGAAGATGTTTAAGATAAGTTATTTTAAATTCTCTTAGATTTAGTGTGAAAACTTTAAGAACTTAATCACTTTTCATAATCATTAAAATGAATGCATCATATATCTCATTTATATGCATTAAGACTCATTTAAGTGTATTAAAGCTTGTAAACAATGTCTTCTTATGTGTTGAATTTCGTAGAAGCTATTTGTAGCATGAGAAGTAGAGTCATATGTGATTTTGCAAGTTACTCACAAGATTCTACAAGTTAGACACACTGATTGCTAGATCATAGAAGTGTGAAGAAGTGATTCATGTATGATTTAGCACTTGTGTTATGTGATGCCTTAATCTTTATTTTTGCATGCAAAATCATGCATAAAAGCATTTTGTTGTCTATACAAGTTTTGGCAACTATGCTTTTTTATGTTAAAGTGAAAAACCACGCGTGAGACTGATAGTAGTTACACGTGATTTATTACTTTGTTGCACAATCACTTTATGCTATGTTGAGTTTTAACTCATCTCAAGCCAAGTTAAAATGTTCACTTGTATGATCATTGATACACAAATCTATATATCTTGATCATGTAAAATCTTGCTTGAGTTTTGTGTAGTTCCACGTGTGAAAATGTACTAGATGAGTTTGTGCATTAGTGCTTACAATTTCACGAGCGTTAGCCTTTTATTTCCACGTGAGTTTTGATCACACAAATTGGCTCTGGCATTCTGCTACCTATTTCACGAGTGAGAGAGAAAAGGTTTTATACATGATTTGTGGCACAAAACAAATGATAGTTTTTAAGTGCAAAACCATGCATGAGAGCAAATGGTTCACTCGCAAGATTTAGTACTTTGATACATAAGTATATTCATAAGTATAAAACCACGCGAGAGAGCAAAGAGGTTCCATACGAGTTTTAGCACACAAAATTAAATGTTTATTCATAAGTGCAAAACCATGTGAGAGAGGAAAGAGGTACCACATAAGTTTTAGCACACAGAACTGAATGCTTATTTAGAAGTGCAAAACCATGCGTGAGAAGTCAAGGGGTTCACATGTGATTTATCACATATACATTTCTAGAACAATTCTAGTGTAGTTTTACACATGATTTTACTAGTCACTCACAAGAAATTGCATCAACGAATAGAATCATTGTTCCAACGGTCTATCAACTACCAAAACTATATATGTGATTCATTTTGCACTAAAAGAAGAACTAATGATCCTTGAGCAAACTAATCATCATTTGAGCATTTGAAAAGCTTTCAATAGTTTATAAGCTTTTAATTGTAATTCCATTTACTCTTTAAGAGATTTTTTCTGCTAAAGCTTATTTTCTATTTTAGAAATCTTAAAAAGGTATTTTTCAAGTGTTTATAACAAGTTGCTAGATTATAGTAATATTTATTGAGTAAATCAAGACAAGTTTTTTTTTAGTATTGTACTATGGTGGCAAGCACCCATTGAAGTTTGTGATTTTAGTTGAAAATCTCAAGTATGATCTTGAGAACAAGACGTAGGCCAAGTTTGATCCTGAACCAGTATAAATCTTGAGTGTCTTATCTTCTTCCTTTACTTTTTAAGTTCTTCACTCTTTCTTTTTTTTCAAAAGTTTTTAAGTATCACCTAATTCACCCCCTCTTGGGTGCTAGCCTATATTAACATTTGGTATCAAAGCTTGAACTCTTGATTAAAGACTTAATAGTCTAAGAGGATTCTATGGCTGGTTTTGGTGATAGTGTTCTCTCTAAACGTGCTAAGATTAATAGGCCTTTAGAATTCAATGGTGAAAACTATACTTTCTAAAATAGTAAGATAAGATTATTCTTTGAGGCCTCAAACCTTGATTTATGAGAGATTGTTGAGAGTAGTCCTTACATTTCATATAAAACTGTAGAAGGACAATTCATAAGAAAAGAAAGGAGTGAATTCACAAAAAAGGAAGAAAAACTTGTGAACTCCAAGCCAAATTGATTATTGCAATTGCCTTAAGTCAACAAGAGTATTTCTAAGTGAGTAATCTAAAAACTACAAAGGAGATGTGGGATGCTCTAGAGATTACTCATAAAAGCACTGAAGGAGTCAAGGAGAACAAAACGAGTACATTGACTCAGCAATATAAACTGTTCAAGATGAAGCCTGGAGGGAGTATCAAAGATATGCAAGTCAAATACACACATATGATGAATGAGCTTGCAGTACTTAGAAAGACCTATACTTAGAAGGAGCAAGTTAGAAAAATCATGAGAGGTCTCCCAGTTGAATGGCAACCTAAAATTACTTCTATTGAAGAAGCAAAAAGTGACTCTATGAGATCTGTGGCAGCACTGTTTAGAAGTCTTACTGAGCATAATGGAAGATTATCCATGCTAAAGGAAGATACTGGTAAGAAGAAGAAGTCACTGGCTCTAAAAGTGACAAAAGAAGAATTTTATTTTGAAACTAGTGATAGTGAAGACTTTAATGAAGAAATGGATATATTTGTCAAGAAATTTGGCAATTTCTTTTGGAAGAAGAAGTTTAGGAAGAAATTCTTAAAGAAAAAAGAAAAGGAGATAACTTGTTATAAGTGCAAGAAGCCTGGACACATTAAGGTAGACAATCTTCTAAAATAAGAGAGCAAAAGCTACAAATATGACAAGAAAAAGTTCAAAACTTACCTCTCTTTAATCTAGGGTGACATTAATGAAGAGTCCATTGAAGAAGAAGAAGAAAATCTCTATCTGATGGCTAAAAGCCATTGTGATCAGGTAAATGATTCAAACTCTGACTCTAAATTTGATTTTACTTTTGAAGAATTAAAAATTAGTTTTGAAGAATTGCATAATGAGTTTTTTCTTCTTATAGAAAATCTTTTACAAGTCAAAAAGAAACTTGATATTTTTGAAAAGGAAAACTTGTTTCTCATATCTGAGAATGATATTTTGAAAAAGAATATTTCTATTTTAGAAAAAGAAACTTTATGTGTTTATTGTCCTCTTCATATTTTGAAAGAGAAAGATTTGAAAAATACTCTTAAGAAATTTGTTAAGGGTAGAGATAACTTAGACAAAATTTTGAGTCAACAAAGAAGTGTATTTGATAAAGTTAGCATAGGCTATAAACCTAATAAGAAGTAAAATATTACAAGAAATTCTTTGTTCCTGCCACTATAACTAACTCACCTAAATCATCTTGTTCTTACTACAACAAGAAAGGGCATATGACTAAGTCATGTATCTATAAAAAGCAAGGGTCAAATGAAAATATGAAGTGGGTTCCAAAGAAGTCTACTAACCCACCAGGACCCAAAAAGATTTGGATATCTAAGAAAACATGACATTTGTGTAGGTATCAAGGAGAGTCACAAATGAAAAATGGTATCTAAAAAGTAGCTGTTCTAAGCACATGACTGGTGATAGCTCTATATTTCTATACCTGGTAGAAACTAAAGATGGCAGAATTATCACCTTTGGAAATAATGAAAAGAAAAAAATTCTTGAGATAAGTAAGGTTGGTAAGAATTCATCCAACCCTCCTTGTATTGATAATGTATACTTAGTTAGACATAACCTTTTGAGCATAAGTCAATTATGTGACAAAGGTTATAAGGTTATTTTTAATGCTGTGCGTTGCATTGTGAGAGATGAACAAACAGAAAAAACCATCCTAGAAGGAAAGAGAGTTCAGATGTATACTCAATCAATCTCTGTGATGATAACTTATTGAATACAAAATGTCTCATCTCTATGAATGATGAGAGCTAGCTATGGCACAAGAGATTAGCTCATGTCAACATGAAGCAATTAGACAAGTTTATAAAGAAGAATTTTTCATTAGGCTACCAAAGATAAAATTTGAAGCTGACAAGCTATGTGATGCTTGTATAGAAGGCAAAAAAACTAAGAGTATATTTCAAAGAAAGAATGTGGTATCCATATCAAGGCCTCTTGAATTGCTTCATATGGATCTAATCGGTCCTTCAAGTTTAAAAAGTCTAAGGGGTAATCTCTATATTTTTATTATAGTTGATGATTATTTTAGGTTTTACATAAATTATCTTCATGTTTCACAAGGATCAAACCTTTGATTATTTTATGGCATTTGTAGCCAAAGTACAAAATGAAAAGGGTTTAAAAATTGTGCAGATAAGGAGTGACCATGGTGGAGAATTTGACAGTTTTAATTTCATTGAGTTTTGTGAATAATAGGGAATTAGTCATGAATTCTCAGCTCCTAAAACACCTTAATAAAATGGAGTTGTGAAGAGAAATAATAGAACCTTAGAGAAAATGGCAAGGACTATGTTGAATGAGAAGAAACTGCTTAAGTATTTTTGGGAGGATGCCATGAGTACAGCATGTTACATCACAAGCAGAGCACAAATTCAACCCATTCTAAACAAAACTCCATATAAGCTCTATAAGGGAAGAAAGACTAACATCTCTTACCTACATATATTCAGTTGTAAGTGCTTTATACTCAACAATGGTAAAAATAATCTGGACAAGTTTGATTTCAAAAGTGATGAAGTTGTATTTCATGGTTATTCCAATAGAAGCAAACCTTTTAGGTTCTTTAATAAAAAAAAACCTTATCTGTTGAAGAATCAATTCATGTTAGATTTAATGAATCCTTATCAAATGAGAATAAGGAAGAAGAAATTATAAATCTTCCTTTTGATGATCTCTCACTAAAAGAAAAGGATGAAAATAAAACTAATAATGATACTATGACTAATGATTAAAGTGGAGAGACAAATAATCTTTAAAAAAGTTGGAGATATAGCAAGTCATATCCTATTGATCAAGTCATTGGAGAAATTGGTGATAGTGTTAAGACAAGAGGTTCACTTAGAGAAGTATGCCATTTTAGTGCATTTCTTTCTAATATTGAACCCTATGACATCAAAGAAGCCTTATGTGATGAATATTGGCTCATAGCAATGCAAGAAGAGTTAAACTAGCTTGAGAGAAGTCAAGTTTGGGACTTAGTACCTAGACCAAGTGATCATCATGTAATTGGGATGAAATAAGTATTTAGAAACAAACTATGAAATTGATATTGTGGTCAGAAATAAGGCTAGGTTGGTAGCTAAAGGATATAATCAAGAAGGTATTGATTATGATGAAACATTTACTCCTGTTGCTAGACTTGAAGCTATTAGACATTTACTTGCTTTTTCTTGCATTAAATATTTTAAGCTTTATCAAATGGATGTTAAAAGTACTTTCTTGAATGGACTAATCGATGAAGAATTTTATGTAGAGCAATCTCCAAGATTTGACAATCCATCAATGCTAAATCATGTCTACAAATTAAAAAAAGCATTGTATGGACTAAAGCAAGCACTAAAAGCTTATTATGATAGGTTGAGTACTTTTCTATTAAATAATAGCTTCAAAAGAGGAATGGTGGATAAAACTCTATTCTATCAAACTAAAGGTAGTGATATCCTTATAGTTCAAATTTATGTTGATGATATTATTTTTAAAGCTATTAATAAGGTTCTTTATGAGAAATTTGCTAAGATTATGCAAGGTGAATTCAAGATGTCCATGATGGGAGAGCTGAACTTCTTTCTTAGATTGTAAATCAAGCAAATGAGGGATGGGATCTTCATAAGCCAAACCAAGTATACTTATGAATTGCTGAAGAATTTTGGATTTGAAAATTCAAATCTAACCAACATACCTATGAGTGCATCAATCAAGATGGATAAGGATGAAAAAGGAAAGAAGGAAGATCAATTAAAATTCAAGCAGTTGATTGGATCGCTGCTCCATTTAATTGCTAATAGACCTGATATCATGTTTAATGTCTACATATGTGCAAGATTTCAACCTGATTTAAGAGAATCTCATTCAAAGGCTATGAAAAGAATCTTCAAGTATTCGAATGGAACAACACAGCTAGGACTTTGGTTTCTAAAAGGAGGAAAGCCTGAATTGATCACTTATTCAGATGCTAATCATAGAGGATACAAAATAGACAAGAAGAGCATAAGTGGAACTTATCAGTTCTTTAGTGACTCATTAATATCATGATTTAGTAATAAATAAAATAGCATGTCCTTATCATCATGTAAAGCTAAATACTTGGTAGCTGGAAGCTGTTGTGCACAAATTTTAACAATTGGAAGATTTGGGAGTTCATCTTAAGGAAATTGCAATCAAATGTTACAACACAAACACTATCAACTTAGCCAAGAATCCTGTCTAACACTCAAGGACCAAGCATATTGACATAAGACATCATTACTCAAGTTGCAAAAGAAAGATATAATACTGGAGTTTGTGCCTACTATCGAGTAACTAGCAGATATTTTCACCAAACCTTTGGCTAAAGAATAGTTTACATTCACTAGAAGGGAATTGGAAATGGTAAATCCTAATAAGTTGTAAGATTCTTAAACTCAATTGAATTATATTTTGAATCTTTTACTAACTTAAGCTTTAGAGTTGTTTTTAAGTTATTTTTGTAGAATTTAATCTACGAGTCCTGACTTTATTGAAATAGATCAAGGTGAATATTAAAGAAAGAGGTCAGAAAATCAGGTATAATTTGCTTGAAAAATAAATTATTATTATTATTGGAGGATATTTCTTGTAAGTTCATTTGCCATATCTTGCGTGAAAATGCTTGATTCTGTGATATTTTCTATTTGACTGCATTTTCACGTGTGAAACATGCTTGCTTGCTTGCGTGAAATAGCACTTGGGATATCTTCACTTCAAAATTATGCTAAATCACACGTGAAGATGATAGTTCTGCTTGCTGACATAACACGCAATGTGTTATCCTTTCTAAGTTGTGTAAATCACGTGTAAAGAAGGAAGTCTCACTTGCGTGAAATGTCTTCCCGAGAGCATTGTATTTTGACTCGGACATTTCAGGCTTGAAGACCATTAGTGACCACGTGTGATTCTATTTGTATTGAATGCACAATTTATGAACGTTATCTTACCTGCCAGATCATGTGTGAAATTGCCATATCACAGATGAGAATTAGCACTTAGTTTGAAATAGGTGCTAAACCATGCGTGAAACCATTTTCTCCTCACATGTGATCCTGCACTTCCTATATATACCTTGCTCGTCTACCCTTCATTTTCACAAGTGAACCAATGTTCATTTTTCTAGCCCTTATATTATCCTTCATTCTTAACTGCTTTCTTAAATCTTCTATGGCCATTTTGGCATTTGAATTTCTTTATCCACTTCTTTTAAACTACTCTTTGTTCATCATTTCACCTAATTTCTCCTCAATTCTCAACCTAAATTCATCTCTTCTCTCTTTAATTTCTGTGATGGCAAGAACTAAGGATACTGAAAAGAGAGCCAATGAGGAGGTAACAAGGAAGAGAAAATTCATATAGGCTCTGATTGGTAAAGGAAGTAAATCACCTTCTCGATCATCCAAGAGGATCAAAACTCTAAGAAAGTCTAAAGAGTCTGCTTCAACATCAAAGCTTGGTTTGACTAATTAACAAGAAGAAGTTCTAATCAGACTTGGCCGAGAATTGTCTTAAGATGGCAGCAACGTGCCTCCAAGTGAAGTTTTAAAGGCAAGTATCTGAGAAGAAAAGCTACTAATCTTCGAGCATCAGTCAAGACTCAACCAATACTTCTCCTCTACTATGGTAGTCACCAATAACTATACTAAATATGATTCTTTTATCAAAGCTCATAACTTTAACATAGATAAATATTTGAGTGACTATAAAGGCTTGTTAGAACTTGATCTCTATTGCTAATGTGGTGAAGGCCT